TGCCTGTGGGCTAGGACAGATGGACAAGGGAAAAAAAAAAGGTTTAAACGCCTAGAAAGAAAAAAGGACCAAAAGTGTTGAGAGAAAAGGGCTTCATAGCTGCAAGCTTCTAGGTCTAAAATCATTTCTGAAAGTTGATATTATCACCTGAAATGTGATATTACAAAATATAACTGATAATCTGTTCTTAAAGCTGAAGTGTAATCGTCCTCTATTTTGTCACCCCTGGTTCCTCCATTCCACCCTCATCAACATGCCAATTAAATAAAACCTTTCTGTTTTCATTACATATCTTATTCTAGACCCAGTGGTGTCATTACTGGGTCTCTGTGTTTCTCTATGTAGTGCAGGCAGATCATGCCTGGTGGGAGGTGCCAGCAGGGAGCTGTAAAATGCTTCCTGCCCTATAGCAGATATACAGGGGTCCAAAAAATCACGTATAAATATGTGATTTTGCATTTGCCGCTATTCGCGGCCTCGGCTGTCAATCATCGAGTCCTGGCCGGTGATTACTTGCCTGCAACCGGTGATCAAGGAGCATTACCAATGAAGGGAAAGAACTGTAAGTAAACAATACAGATCTCTCCCCTGTCAGCTCCTGCACACTGCTATGCATGGCTTTGCCATACAAAGCAGTGTGCTTACAGTAAAGCACACACACAGCACACAGTAAAATACACACAGCACACAGATAACCCTTTGATTGCCCCAGATGTTAGCCCCTTCCTGCCCAGTGCCATCAGTACAGTGCCAGTGCTTTTTATTAGCACTGATTACTGTATTGGTGTCACTGAGGATGTCAGCTCCCACCAGTGTGAGAATGCCCGCCGCAGTCCTGCTATAAGTCGCTGAACGCCGCCATTACTAGTAAAAATTTAAAAATCCCAGCAAGTATACCGCCATTTGTAAATACTATAACTTTCACGTAAACCAATTAATGTACAAGTATTGGGATTTTTTTTAGCAAAGACATAGCAAAATACATTTTGGCCTAAATTTATGACGAAATTTGATTTTTTTTTTTCTTTTTTTTTACTGGACATGTTTAATAGCAAAACATCAAAAATATTGTTTTTTTCTCAAAATTATCGGTCTTCTTTTTTATAGTGCAAAAAATAAAAATACCACTGAAAGAAAGCTCTATTTGTGGGAAAAAAAGGACGTAAATTTAATTTGGGTGCAGCGTTGCATGACCGCGCAATTGTCAGTTAAAGTATCACAGCACCATAACGCAAAAAATGTCAGGAAGGGGGGTAAATCCTCTGGAGGGCGAGTGGTTAAGGTGGTAATTTAACTCACCTAATTTCCTTATCTGCTTTAAATTAGCCTCAGAAGTTGTGTAATTAATATGTGTTCAGTTTTGAGGTGGCAACCCTAGGCACGCCCAGGGGGGGACTGACCATTCGAGCACTCGGGCACTGCCCGAGGGCTCGGGGTCAGTAGGGGGCCCCATGAAATGCACCTAGTACCTTTTTTATAGGCTTTTTTGGGTGTGCTTTGATTTGAGCAAGGACACAGGGGCCCCATGATCCCCTATTGCCGGGGGCCCCATGAATTGTCAGTCCGCCCCTGGGCACGCCTCTCTCAATGGATGGCACGCCTTCACTGAGAGCGCAGTGAACATGCGTTGGTGACGTCACCGGCTGCTACTAAAGTAAAAATCTCCTAAACAGTGCAGGTATCTTAGAAGATATTTATTGTACCTACAGCTCAGCTTTATTTTAGGTTTTCCTTTAAGTACAAGTAAACAGTGGGGACTTACTACCACTTTAACCACTTGAGCTCTGGTAGATTTTACCCCCCCTTCATGACCAGGCCATTTTTTGCAGTTCGGCACTGTGCTACTTTATCTGGCAATTGCTGTACCCAAACAAAGTTCACATAATTCTTTTTTTTCACACAAATAGAGCTTTCTTTTGGTGGTATTTGATCACCACTGGTTTTTTTTATATTTTTTTCGATATAAACAAAAAAAGACCAAACATTTGGAAAATAAAACAATACTGTGTTTTTTACTATCTGCTATAAACCATATCCTATAAAAAAAAAAAAAAAATGTAAATTTCTCCATAAATTTTGGATAAAATGTATTCTGCTACTGTACATGTCTTTTGTAAAAAATATCCCAATAAGTGTGTATACTGATTGGTTTGTGTGGAAGTTATAGTGCCTACAGACTATGATATATATACTGGAATTGGTATTTGTTTTTTAATTTTTCTTTTATACCAGGAATGTATAAACGGATGTTAACAGATACGGACAATAACAGATGTAAAAAGATGTTCATCCGTTTACATCAGCAAGTCCATAGAGATACATGGGGGTCTGTTTTTCATCCGTAAATGGACAGATAAAAAATGGACATTGGGAACGCCCGTGTGAAAGAGGCCTGTGGGCGTCTATGTGGGTCATAGGACTCTCTTTCTCCACTGCACGATGGTGTAAGAATGCTCCTGTGACCTATGGTCTGTCGGGTGGAACTCACAAAACAAAGGAACCTGCCATAGTGTAGTGTGTAAAATACTAAGTAGTTTTATTAAAATTGCACTTACATTCAACAAGATGAAATGCCGCTATAAAATGCTGATAAAATCCCTGACCTCGGACAAGACCCGTGATGAATGCAACCCGCCGGCTCTCCCGTCACCCAAGCTCTTCATCAGGCATATTGTCACCGATCACTGTGTGCTGTCTAACTAAGCAATGTGCCAGTTTTTATTCCCTGCTTAGCAGGGAGAAAAAAAATGGCAAAATCACTGCTGTATGAAGAGAGATCTGTGTTGTTTACGAACACAGGGCTCTCTTCTGTCAATCGCTGAGCTGATCAGCAGGTCCCAGCCATAAATTATTGTCCGGGACCCGCTGATCAGCTTTTGCTATAGCAAATGACAACACGATCTTCTGGGTCCCCTCCCGCAGATTCTCAGACCCCTTAATTATAGGAGTTCGAATTGGGCTCAATGTGAATATGAATCAGTCCGGACAGATAGACTATAATGGAAGCCAGTGCTCTGTCCGACACAGTCAAACCGTTCCATTGATAAAGATCAGGGTTGGCTCATAAAAAAACAATATAGAGGTGCCTCTCATAGTGCAGTAAAATATTGTTTTTTATGAGCCAACCCTGATTTTTATCATTGGAACGGCTTGACTGTGTCGGAGCAGAGCACCGGGTTCCATTATAGTCTATCTGTCCGGACGGATTCATATTCGACCTCCTATAATTAAGGGGTCTGAGAATCTGGTAAGCCTTTGACTTGCTAACATGGTGGTGGCCAGTCACATTGGTGATTTTTGGATGGAATGAAGAATATTCACCATTGCTTGTTAATTCAAGAAATTGTCTTGCACTCACAAGGATTGTTTTTTGATTGTTCTTTGCATATGTGGACTTTGAGCACTATAGGGTCCCTCAAGGACTGTTATCACTTGTGTGTTTAGAGCACCTTATTGTGTATTTATTAACATTTTTTGTTCATATTTGTTCACTTTTAGCGCAACACTGATTTTTATATGTTGATTGAGAGGGGGATATCCTTTGGGTGTGTTTGCAGCTTTGTATTTACGTGGACGTGTGACATTTGTGCAGTTTTTGAATATATATATATAGATATAGATAGATAGATAGATAGATAGATAGATAAGATGTTTGGGGCTTCTACATTGTTTTCTAGCCAAAAAAATGCAGATTTTTTACATGTAGGAGAGGAATGTCATAATTGGCTTGGACTGGAACTGGCTAACAGCCGAAATGCGTTAGCCAGAAAAGGCTACCACATTTGGACGATACTGAGTTGCAGGCTTGCTACTAATTCTCTGCTGAATGCCTAACAAGTGTGGGGTCATTGATGCCAGGCCACCGGTTTTCCTGGCTCCTGAATGGGCCACGGTTGAGTGATGCTAACTTGCCTGCCTGATATCTACCCTCTCTACACTATCATTGCCGACAGTTGTTTATGATATTTGACTAAATGTCACCCAGTAAGGGCTTAGATCTACTTTAAGAATCGCTGTATTTATCAAAGAGCGCAGTTTGGCCATTTGAACACATGACTTATACTCCTGAAATATTTTCCATTCAAGCACAGTAAATCAGAAGCCGTGACCAATCACAGTCCTCGGGAGTGCGCTGCACAGACAAGCTACTTATTTTGTCTGAACAGGTGCTGCCTGCGCGGCCCCTATAGAAAGGAGCCTGTGATTGGGAGTGACAGTTTTCCTGGGTACAGAGAATCTGCAGCCGCACTTCTATGTGTCAAAACAGCTCTGCAGAATGTCTCACTTACATAGAACACTGGAAAGGGCTTGCCATTTTGGATGAGGTCAGAGGGCAGCCTGCAGACAGCTGTTCGATGACGGATGGGCTCTAATATACATGAGATATCTCTATTCACAGGCCAATTATTACATGGATTCTGCCACTTACAAGTAACTTTTTAAAAGGAATGTTTTCAGTTTTATTTATTTCACTTGAGTCCCTAATTTCCATAAGGGTATGTTTAGATGTGCGTCAAAGCCCGGGTTCACATTGATGCGATGCGGAATTTGCAGCATTTTCTGTGCGAATTCCGCACCACATCCGAATTGCACCCCGTTCATGCGAACCGCTGCGGATGTATATGTTAAGTTAACAACACCCTGAAAGCAGTCCCCAAAACGCAGTGCGATGTGCAGAATCAGATCACATAGGTGTGAATACCCATGTGATCCGATTCTAGTGCGGACCCAAAAAAGGGTCCTGCACCTCTTTGGTGCAGGTGCGGTACAATTAGAGCCATACAAAATGTATGGCTCCAATCGCAACGCACACAAACCGCATGTGATTTGTACAAGAATGCGGAGCGGTTCCTGTGCGAATCACATGCGATATTCCGCACCGCATATGTGAACCCAGGCTCAATCTCACTTTTCCCTGAAGCCCGATCCGCATTCGGATTGCGCTTCCTAGGCAGTGAGGAAGCAATGTGACTCCTCCTTACGGCCTGTTTTAACCCCACCAGGGGCGGACTGACAACTCATGGGGCCCCGGGCAATAGGGGATCATGGGGCCCCTGTGTCCTTGACAAACTCAAAAAAGCCTATAAAAAAGGTACCAGGGGCATCTCATGGGGCCCCCTACTGACCCCGGGCCCTCGGGCAGTGCCCGAGTTTCCAAATGGTCAGTCCGCCCCTGAACCCCACTTTTGTCAACAAACACGCAGATGCGATTTACGGGGTGTTTGTGGCGCTTACCCGTTTACTCGAGTGTGTAACATTCGCTGGGCTTGCTGTCTAATGATTGCTACAGGTCAAGTAAACCTTGGCATGGGCGCAAAGCGTCGCAACTCCAGCATGTGAATGCCCCAATCCGCTGCCTATTGCAGCTTAAGGGGGCAGTTACTGGGTGATAAAAATTTGGCTCAGCTGCACATTTTTACAGCCTTTCCAACTGTACATCTAAATGAAGCCTAAAATGGTATTACTTTTTTTGGGGGGGCAGATAGGTCTTTAATTCGGTACCACAATTGGATACACATATTTTATTCCTTTGTTCTTAATACTAAATACTAAAAAAGAGAAAAATGCATTTTCCTGTAATTTTTTCAGTGCAACAATCATATAATTTGTTTACCTTCATATATTTACCAAAAAATATATACAACAAAGTCTGTTGATTAAAATGTTATCATATTTGTGTGACTTTTAGGTGACATAGCGGAATGGTGATATTCAAAGTGAACGTATGCGTTTTACATTAGAAGAGCGTTTTTCCCCGTTTGACGTTACATTACAACACATGCAGGGGAATAAACAGTTTGTGTAAACTTCTAGCGCAACAGTATTAAACCTAAAAGCAAACATTTATTATATTGTAGCTTACCAATTCTTAGGTGTGTAGGCTGCATTAGTTTTCTTTTTTAGGCTCTCTTTTTTTCTTTTATTTTTTTATCGGATGATCCAGCCAGTAAGTCTGTTGTTTTTCTAAAGAACAAGCTCTCAGCTTGCAGATGTATCTGTTTACAGGGATGAGTCAAACTATTTACTACTGGCAGGGGTGCTTACAATGATCAGCTAATTATTCATGTAACATCTTTATCCTAAAAAGAAAAAAACTGTTTGCTGTAACTGATTATAAAGTGTTATCTGGATTTTGGCATCAATTGTCTAGTGTATTTAAATCTGCTAGTACATCTAACACTCCCCTCTCCCCAGACTGACAACGCTGCCGTGCCCCAAGTGCTCCTTCATCCAGAGTATAGGCTCTCTAACAAAGGAGGTGTGTTACTAGCTAGATCACCAGGTGTAAGATGAAAACTAATGCAGCCACCACATCTCAAGGAAAACTAATGCAGCCACCACATCTCAAGGAAAACTAATGAAGCCACCACATCTCAAGGATTGGTGAGCTGCAATCTATTACATTTTTGGTTTTGGGTTTATTACCACTTTAAGATAGGATTAACCACTTTCCGTCCGGCCGCTGTATATAAACGGCTGGACGGTGGCAGTGCAGGGGCAGGTTGCTGTTCATAAACGGCACCACCATTTTGGATTGTGCATGCTCCCTGGGAGCGCGCAGCACGGTGCCCGCTGTGTCCGGAGGATACCGATCGCTGTATGGAACCTCTGTGTGAGGTCCCGATCATGTGATCACTGATCGGACAATCAGTGATCACATGAAGAGTAGTAAGCAATGATAAGCACTTGTGACATCATTGCTTACTACGTTTGAAATCTGTGAATGATCACAGAGGTCACATGGTACAAGGATATTCACAACAGTCTTGTACCATGTGACAAGCTGTGACCAATCACAGCTCACACAGTATTTCTCAGTGGCTGCAAGAATGCAGCCAGAGAGGAGAAATGATTGCTTTTACAGCCTTTATGGATGTAAAAGCAATCGGTGTAAAAAAAAAAATGTTCACCGCCCCCCACAAGTAGTACAGTGTCACTATGGTGACACTGTACTGCTAGGGTGACAATATGTTAAAAACAAAAAAAAAAAAAAAAAAAAACAAATAATATAAAAAAAATAAAATGTAAAAGATGTTTTTTGAAAAATTATAATTTTTGGTTATAAACTAATTTGGGAATTTTTTTTTTTTGCTAAAAAGATAACTGAATACATTTTGGCCAAGATTTATGAAAAAAGATTATTTATTTGCAAAAATGTATAGAAAAACACTTTTTTTTCAAAATTTTTGGACATTTTCATTCATATAGCAAAAAAAAAAAAAAAATCCCAGTGGCGAAGAAATACCACCAAAATAAAGTTTTCTCTGTCTCAAAAAAATTGCTAAAAAATTCATATGGGTAGAGTGTTGCATGACCGCGCAATTATCATTCAAAGTGTGACAGCACTGAAAGCTGAAAATTGGCCTGGACAGGAAGGGGGTGAAAGTGTCCGGACATGAAGTGGTTAAGCCAGGTTGACAAGGGCACAAATTATCATGGCCAAGAATTATTTTCCCAGGTTTGTGATCACAAAAAATTTGAATGATATTGCAGCCACTTAGATGAGCATTTGATACTTGTGCAGTAAGGCCTGGTTCACACCTATGTATTTTGTAGAAACGCACTACAGGCTATTTAACATGGTTTCCTATGGGACATGTTCACATCTATGCATTTTCAGCTGCTGAGTTTTTGGAAAGGTTCACAGACTTTTTTTCCATAGCAGATTGCGTTTTTGTTGCATTTATAATGCGTTTTGCATTTTTTTGAGCAAAAGGAAACAAGTGCGATTTTGATGCAACTTTACACTCTCTGGCACTCCAAGTGGCATCAGAGTAATGCAGGAACATCTTCAGAGTCCTTGCGAGTTTGAAAAGGTTCCTGTATGACTTTGGCGTGACTTTGATACAACTATGAGTGCCAGAGAGTGTAAAGTTGCATCAAAGTCACACCAAAGTAGTACAGTAACATTATCGAAGTCACAGCGACTTTGAAAAGGTTCCTGAACTACTTTGCTGCAACTTTGAGTGCCACAGAGTGTAAAATCCCATCAAAGTCCCATCAAAGTCACACTCAATACTTTCCTATTGTAAAAATAAAAATAAAAGCAAAATATAAAAAAAATGCGAATTCAAAAACGCCAAACGGTCCAGAAGAAAGGCATCAATTGCAAAACGCATAGGTGTGAACCAGGTCTAAGTGTAAATATCATCCAGATCATTCGTCATCATTGTTGCAACCCGGGTAGTTTTATTTTTTTATTTATACTTAGGGCTCATGTGCAATGCAGCTAATAAACTCATGTTCAGGAGCTTTTCTGCGTTTTTCTTAGCAGCCCCGGAACTCTCCCTAATGTTTCCTATGCGTCCATGTACACAGTCGTTTACAGGCAGTTGAGTTTACAGTCATTTTTTTGAACGCACCAAACTTGCGTTCAGCAGTAGATTTTGTCAGCTTCTCGGACTTTTGGCTCAGATCAAGTGTAGTATCTGTTCTTATCAGTGTCCAGTGGGGGTGCTCCCGGCCATTCTAGCTTTGCGGGGATGGCTGTTGTATAGTACCCTCACTGGTATGATGGGGGTCCGGAAGGCTAGTGCCGGAGGGACAGAAACCGGGGAGCGCCACGAGTTATGCTGGGGCCCTGGGAGTAATTCCTCCGAGAAGACTGGAAAGACCCAGTACCTCCTGATTTGGACAGATCTACCTTGGTCTGGCCAGGGGCTGAGGAGGCAGAAAGTCCGCAAACTCGGTGCCCCCTGAGTAGACGCTCTCAGGGGTGCCACTAGTAACACCTGGGTGTGGGACCCCACTGTGTGAACATGGCACATGGTCACTGTTTTTACATTCTTTTTGCACAGCGCCCTAAGGACCAGGCCTTTTGGCTAAGTCCAGGGCAATTTTTGCTACGGGCCTCAGGGCCTGGTCTGTGCACTATTTGGCACGGTACCACTTTTTTATTTTCTATTTATTTAATTTATTTACACCTCCCACTTTTGTCACTTTTTCTTTCGCTTATGTGTGTGTTTTCACGGATGGAGGGTGTGGGTCCTCGGCCTACCCTGAAGTCTAGGGGAGGATGTGTGGCCTTTTGGTTCCTTCCTCCCCTGATCCCTAGGGGGCTTTTCTTCGGGAGAGCCCCCTGACCCAAGTACTGTGTGTCTGGCTTTGGCTGGACACAAGGAACGGTGTCCACCAGGCCTTTTGCCAGGAGGACCAATTGGGAACCTTGTCCCCGTCAGGAGCTTCGTGCCCCGGGGGATCAGGGTAAGCGGTCCAAGCCCCTTTAGGGGTAGGACACAGCACACCCCTAAGTGCACTTTTTCGTGTGGTGTTTTGCACTTGCACTTTTTTTGTGATACACTTAGGGGGTTTTTCGTTTATAGTTGCACGTTTGCAGACTTAAAAAAAAAAAAAGTAGATTTTGTCAGCATTTCAAACCCCAAACACTTGTAAAAGCGTGTAAATGTGGCAACGGCATTTAGAAGCGTTTGCGTTTAGAAGCGTTTTTAACTGTTCCATGTCCAAATGCTGTCCAAAGCATTTCATCATAAGAAATGCATGTAAAGCATTTTCCATGTATTCAAATGGACCCGGTACACCAGCGCAGTCAGTTCCAGGTTTTGCGTGAAGGAAACAATGGCAGAACGTGCCGCATTATGCTCATGATGGGATCCATAGTGAATACAACCAGAAAAGACAGGTCATCTCAACACATACTGCTCTCCCTGCTTCTGCTCTCTCTCCATTTCCCTCAAAATGTCTGAAATAGTTAATTTTTTACTATTTTTCAGTGCATTTTGGGCGTTTCGGAAGGATGAGGTTATCTTTAAAAAACACTTCTAAACGGAAATAGCTCATAAGCGCGATAAACGCGGTATGCAAAGCATGCAAACACGGCTAAACAGACTTTTTTTTAACCTACGTTTTCCAGCAGTCAGTTAGATCGTTCAGAAGTGTTTTCCAAACGTCCCGTGTACATGAACCCTTATATAGATTTCCAGTATATACGGTGTATATAGATAGATAGATAGATAGATACATAGATAGATAGATAGATAGATAGATAGATAGATAATACATAGATAGATAGATATAGATAGATAGATAGATAGATAGATAGATAGATATGGATAGATGATACATAG